ATTCATCACGCTCGATAACCCCGAAGGTTTTCTATTTTTGGCCCGAGGTACTTCCGAAAGTTTAAGAAAAATTTTGAAACAAAATGGCGCAAAAAGTTTTCCATGGCAAAATAATATTAATTTGAAGACTTTTCCTAAACTTTCGGAAGTACCTCGGGCCAAAAACAGGAAATCTTCTGGGTTACCGAGTATGCTGAATACGAAAAACCACTTTTCAGCAACTCTAAACTAACTTTATTTTTTTTCCGGTGATATGTGCGACCTTTTCTCTGAGTAATAGTTGTAAGTTTGTAGTGAAAAAATGATCATAAAAAACTATTTCATCCTATCGGTGTGTTTCGTTCCTAGCTATTTCTGACATTGATTTGTTCAAGGAGTTTGTCTAAAGTTGGTCGATATTTGAGAATCATCGACTGCCGCATGCTTCTTGATCCCAGTGATGTCCTCTGCTTGCGAAATAGATATCCGGAGAGACTAAATGCTGCTTCGCTGCTGATTGATGTGGCTGGAATAGCGGATATTCGTCGAACGAGGTTTGCGAGATTCGGCAGCTTTGAGCTATTTTCTAACCAAAAGGATGAGAAGCGCTACGTAGCCGTGGAGGCAGCTTGCACATAATGGTATAACTCTTGATCGAAAGACAGACCCTTTTGACTTTTATTCGACCACGATCCTACATGTCCATATCCATCGATCCTCGCAAATTTCTCTTTGATGCCTGTTGTAGTTGATCCATCATTCAGCAGAGAGCCAGTCTATAGACAATAACAAGGTCACAGAACCTTTTGAACCGGCATCGGATTATCGAGAAGCAAAAGAAATAGAGGATACGAGTATAAACTCACTTGTGACACGTTTGTCGTAGGCGCTACAACATTACGATGGTCATGCATGAGCTTAGTGACAGTTTTCTTGCTAGCCTTTACATCGGCTTCACTCATATCGTTGTGTGTAATCGGATCGAGCAACGCTGCTGCCTACGAGAAGTAAAACAACGAAATGATTTGGATTTCATTGGCGAAGAACGAAATTCCGACACTTCCTTGACCATCAGGGTATAGAATCGAATGAAGCAAGACTTCTCTTAGTCGAACATACTCATATCAACACGAACCACTAGGTCGTTTATACCCCACCACATTTTTTGCCTTGTCATGCTTTTTCCTTTCTCTGACCTTCACAGTATTTTTCTGCATCGTCATCGAAGACAGGACGAAAGTGTTTGCACTAGTCGTGTTAATACTCTGACTTGAAATAGCATTTTGCTTACACTGAGATCTAAACAAGTAAGTGGTGTGATCAGAGACGCTGTAGCTCTTACCAGGAGAGAGAAGCGGTGACAGGGTTACCAAAGAGATGCAATCTAAGAAAGAAGAAAAAGCGAGAATCTTCCAGTTCCATCTTCAGTATCACGATTGGAATAATGTAGCGCAGTCTGGATCTCTCAATCTATTTTTACTTCTTCATTTTGGAGCAGAGAAACTGTGATAAGGAAAACTATTCAGAGGTAATAGCCATTTTTTCAGCTTTTTATCCGTATAAACGACCGATACTCAACTCATCGACAAAAAGCGATAGTTTTCAAGGTTAATATGATTCATAGCGACATTTTCCAATATCACTTCTGATCATGATCTCCAGCCATAAGCAGGCTTCCGAGCAAACAGATCAACAGTCGATCAAGGTTTGACATTGCAAATGGTAATGAAAAACTTTGTCAGGACAGTCCGTTCTGGGCTAAAATGGTGAAACTCCTTAAAAGAAAAAGGTACGTTACCCACATTTAAAACATATGTTTAAAATGAGATGAGAGATGCCTTTTCCAATGTTTGAAATCATGCGCTGGTGAACTGAATTAAAAATGACTTTATTTATACCAGATTGGAACAATTTATTGAAAAGCTTTTACCTTTCTAGTCAAAAAGTATACCATCTTCCAGAGAATTTTGAGATCTATCTACCTTGTAAATTGGCAATTAACTGACGGACCAGTTCAACTTTTCATAAACGTGGTATATTTCGCTTCATGCTACATCAAATATTTGTTTGAGAACGACCCATCTAGCATAGCATTGACTGGTCAATAGTCACGATTATATCTTAATACAGTTAATGGGTGCATTAATGTAGAATTTCTTTTGGTACTATTTCTGAGCTTTTCCTGAGCTGATATTTTAACAAACTTGGCACTATTGGATCACAATACGTGAAAAAAATGAAATCATTTACTTTGTTCTTCTCTCGTGTTCTTTCTTTCTCATTACATAAAACTTAACCTGCATATTTATGATAAAATTATCGATTCTACAGTAAATAAGAAACCATTCACTTCAGATATCAAATATTTGTTCCTTTAATTCATGGACTCATGGAAAACTTGAGATTAAAGGTCTTAGTCTAAATTAAAGGAACAAATATTTGATATCTGAAGTGAATGGTTTCTTATTTACTGTAGAATCGATAATTTTATCATAAGGTTAAGTTTTATGTAATGAGAAAGAAAGAACACGAGAGAAGAACAAAGTAAATGATTTCATTTTTTTCACGTATTGTGATCCAATAGTGCCAAGTTTGTTAAAATATCAGCTCAGGAAAAGCTCAGAAATAGTACCAAAAGAAATTCTACATTAATGCACCCATTAACTGTATTAAGATATAATCGTGACTATTGACCAGTCAATGCTATGCTAGATGGGTCGTTCTCAAACAAATATTTGATGTAGCATGAAGCGAAATATACCACGTTTATGAAAAGTTGAACTGGTCCGTCAGTTAATTGCCAATTTACAAGGTAGATAGATCTCAAAATTCTCTGGAAGATGGTATACTTTTTGACTAGAAAGGTAAAACTTTGCAGTTGAGACAAAGTTACGTGTTAAAGTATCTGGCGATGTTTCTTATCTTTATGCAGAATTTTTTCCACGCCAATCCTACATGAACTATGCAGGATTCCGTCGTAACTGGCAGAATAAAAATCCTGCATAAAGGTAAGAAATATCTCCAGATACTTTAGCACATACAATCTGCAGGGCTCCTGTCCAAAATCCTGCGGGATCCTGCATAAAGTTTGATTATCGATTTCAGTGGGCAGATAATCCCTGGATAAACATTTTCCAGCGTTATGCTGTTGAGATAGCGATTCTTACTTCTTACTTAAATAGGTGTTCACATTACGTGGAAATTTTTCCATGGATTTTCTGCAGAAAAGTCTGACTCATCCATTTCCCTACCCATTGCCGTTATTATCTAGTCCTTTGAGACAGGTTCAAAGCCTAAAAGATCGATTTTATAAATCTTATAAAGAGATATCTATCGGGTGAGCTAAAATAAATTTGACTGTTTGTATTGTTAATATTTACCTTCTTTTCTTTATTCGAGTAAGCACTTGCTTTTATCAAAAGATAGCACTTTAAATTCTCTACAAAACCGTAAGTGATTCAGAAACGTTTTAGAAATATTTTAACAAAGATGCAAAGATGGTATACAAACATATGTAAAAAAAATAACGGGTGGGCCACAAATAACGAATCGTGCTTATTTTCTTTTTTTGAGAATTTAAACACAGGATAAAGACTTCGTTGTAAGCTCATTCGATAGAGAATTGTTTGCGCTACAAAACTGCCGACTTTGTTTTTATGAAAATATTTTCTTTCCAGCGTAAAATTTAAAAGATTAACACTTACTCAATCGTCCAACTGCGAGGGTCAGAAAAAGGGGGTGGAAGCATAGAGCACAAAATTCTCTATCTATTGATGCTAAATACTTCACTTTTACTATCGGTGTTGAGGAGCATTAGCTTACATAAGTTAAGTCGATAGACGTCTGCAGAAAACAGGATATTGCAATTTGACGATTGAGTAAGTGTTAATCTTTTAAATTTTACGCCGGAAAGAAAACTTTTTATAAAAGCAAAGTCAGCAGTATTGTAACGCAAGCAATTCTATAGCGAATGAACTTATAACGAAGTCTTTATTCTGTGTTATAATTCTCAAAAAAAGAAAATAAGTGCGACTCATTCTTTAAAGCTCACACGTTAAATATGAAAATAATGATTAAGGGTGTCACATTTACTTTTTTGGAAGGAATTTTTAGAATTAGCTTGTTTTGTCTTGTTTGTATGGCCACAGAACCAACAAACTAGTGGATCGTGTAGATCTCAACCTTTCCGATAATTCTTTTCTAGGAATGTGGTGGAAATTTGCTCAGGGAAAATGTTATGAGATCCAGAAGAGTGACAGCATCACTTTCTTGGCGCGTCGTGACTTTTCTTCTGAGCAAAATTTTGACCGCCTTCCCGGAACAATATGGTCCATATGGTTCATGATAGATGCAAGATACTAATCTAAGACAAATATTTACCATCTTTTATTTCGGTCGTATATAAACGAAAACACATATTTTCATTCCTTCACAAATGGACAACGATTTTAGCATGTTTTACTATGCAGTCTTTGCCACCTTTGCTATTCTTGTTACCGGCTCAAATGGCAAACTGACAAGATCATCGCCAAATGAACCGAAACCGTGCTGTTTACCGAAACAACATAGTTCACAAATGAGTATATCAACTGGTATGATATTGCCCGATGGTAAACCATACAGTTCACACGTAAGTCATTCCTATTAGAGATACTTGCGTCTGAACTATGACTACTTAACTGAATAGTCAAACTACAATTTTTCATACGATTCGGATCGCGGCCTGGTTGCACTGAAAGGCAAAGCGGTTTCAGTACCAGATGGTCAAAAATCAAATTGGTGGATCATTGAAAATATGAAAGATGGTCAAACGTATACAATAGATCAAGATACAAAACAATGTTATAAATCAATAATAACACTAAAACCATTGTATTGTATTCCAGGTATCTAAAAACATTTTTCACCCTTTTTTCTGTTCATGTCAATAACAACACGATTTATTTTTGTTCTGTTATAGAGACGGCAGTGTATCAATACTCATCTACGTACGGGTATGGTGACAAACAAATTGTCGGTGATACATGGCTTATAACAAAGGATGAAGCGATTCTTTATTTTACAGTTAGTAGTGATGGTTTATGCATCCCATTAAGTGGACATTCTTACTCTCAAAACCCTGGTGAGTAATTCTGTAATGTGAAAATACCGGTCACTACTTTTCCCTTTCGTTATTTTAGCTACGGTCAATTCAACGACAGTAACAAATTTCGTACCGAAAATTATTGATCCGGATGCATTCGACATACCGGAGGAATGTAAAAATGCTGCTTAGCATTTTGATTTCTCTCACTAAGAAACGAACATTGAAACTCATCAACAGTTGCATTCTATGATAGAATTTTGTTTGATGTTGAAATAAACGGCAATCTTGTACCTAGCGCCATAATGGACAATTAGAGTCGGCTGCTAATCCATTGCAATTGCAAACGGTTTTTAACAGTCACAATTGAGATGCCTCCTTGTTTTGAGCAGAACTAGTGTAAGAGTTAAACTCTTTACTCTGTACACAGCAAGAGCACGAAAAATGATCTGAAAGTAAGGTGCCTGCAACGCAAAAATGGAGCACTATCTTGTTTTTCAGTCGAAAGCTACATACCCAGGTACTCCTGACTGCGCTGATTTCAAATTTTCACCATTTTATTCGACTTCGATCAAGTTTTGAGGGAGAAATTCTCAAAATACTAAGACTACCGAGAAACCAAAAGATTTGCGTCATTCTGAGAAAACCTGAGATTTTGCTCCGTTCCGTTCACTGTTATTTTTCGAATTTCATCAAAAGTCTATCTTCTTTATAAGTTGTACCAACATCTTTGCTGAAAAGTGGGGACTGGCTGAACTAATATTTTATTGTTTCTGAAGTCAAACAAGGTTCTCTAAAGCATTCTGATGATGATGAATAAAATACATGGATTACATCTAGCCACCGTAGTGAATGTACTAAGTTCAGGGTACCTATGTACTGAGAGGAAAAGCTTTTTGTATATTAAGGTGCAGGCAATTCAAACTTTCAGTAAATTTTTTTTTCGTGTTTTCTTTACATCAATGGATAGAGCTTGAGCTGCTGATCACAAAAAACTACTTTTTAGCCTTAGCAAATGCTTCCTTCTGGTCGAAAAACACGAAATACTTGAAAGGTGTTGTTTTCGAGAAAAACACGTTCTTTCTCGAAATGTGCAAAATTTTCTACTTCATTCTTCTGTTTTGCTTCTGAACATAATTTTTCCAGATTCAGCATAAAAAGCTGAATATAAGACAGTTCTTAAATCGACTCTGGACCCCAAACCCTACCGATGGTGGCGTTTCGAATCGCGTCGAGTGCACCACATATTGGTCGATTTTGTAAACCTATCTAGTTTTTCTACGTAAGTGATAAAGTCAAATGTTTTATCTCATTCGACTCATCATACCACCACTTACAAAGTTATGTATCCTTTTTTTTTCTTTTCTTTCCTGTGTTGAGAGAAGTCACTTTTACTGTTATGATACGATAAGGGTGAAGGTCATCTGTGAATAAAATGACTGTTTTCTCTTCAAACCGAGTGAAAATCGCTTCAAATAGGTAAAAACTAATGGCGAATCGGATGGACATATTTTCGAGATCCTTAGAGGATCTTCAAAGGGTCTCTAGAAATCCTTTTCTTGAAAAGACATAGTTTTGTGATATGAATCGATATTTTATGATCTTTAATGGATATATTAATGATTCTTTATGCTTGGGTATATAATATGAACGGAAACACACTCAATAAATGTACTGAAATGAAAAATAATATGTTTATTAAGATTCGTTTATGTTTTTATTTGAAATTCTACGATGTGATTGGACTGATGTTTTGCAAAGTTGACTGAAAAACAACTTTAGCACATCAGCATATGTTTGACCTTGAGAATATGCTTCGATTGAACGCCAAAATCGGCGAAATAATTTTAATGCAATATTTCGTTCGACAAAATGTATACGAGAATCCGCTATTAATTTTATCAGTTTTTCAAAACTTTGATCTGTACGTGAACGAACAAATGCCTTTGATTGCACCAAAGATCTTCGATTGCGTTTAATTCACAACGATATTTAGGGCAGTATATAATCTTGACATTATAGTTGCTCGCTAGCATCTCGAGTTTTGTGACCTAGACAATAGAGCAAATTATGTAGGATGAAATATCTTCCAAAATATGGAATGACTTTCACTTACATTTTGAAAGGCTCGATGTTTTGAAAGTATTTTATGAATTTCATCCAATTTAACCTTAGCTGGTAATTGTACATCTAATTCTTTACATAGTTCAACTAAACCTTTTGATTGATCTTTGTATGGTTCCTGTTTAAAATAACAATCGATAACTTTTGTTACACCATTTTTATCGACATATTCAATTTGATCGATCGGACACCGTTTACCAATACCTTTAGCAAAGTCTTGTAATGAATATGCCTTAGTAGTATGAGTCCTTGCGTTGTCGACAATGATTTCTATCTGATCATGCTTGTATTTTTGTTTAAATTCTAACAGTTGAAATAATCTTTCAAACTGTTCCAGGATCGTTAAGTCAGATAATTAACATCATTATCGGCACTTAATGATTTATATTTTGTAAGTGCTAGTTTCCATTCATCTTCACTAAGTTGAAAAAATGGTCCACTAGGATGTTGAACAAGAAAATCAGCACCATATGACTTCGACCACGTCCTTTCGAGAAAAACGGTATATTCTCTTTGGAAAACCACCGTTTTGGACTAACTTCACCACTTCTAAATGTTGATTCATCATGAACTAGATAAGGCAAAAAAGAAAACAATAACGATAAACTGTATTTAAAAAGTTCGAAATGCTGTGCTTACATATAAGTATTCTATGAGAATTTTGAGTTGGAAAATTCCACATAGGTGTGTCACCATCAGTAATGGTGTAATAAGAATCCTTATGTGTTAGAAAATAACTAAAAAACTCATTACGATGTTTCACCACATCATCTCTTTCATGTCCTTCAAAATATGGACGTTGTGAATTCGCTTCGAATTTAGCTCCCCACCTACGGAGGTCCAGACGACAACTTCTTTCCGATCTTATCAAATCATCTCCAATTTGTTTTTGAATTCCGATTAGTTCATAATATTTTGTATCGATAAACTGGGCCAGGTCCGCTGCTTTATACTCCGCTGATTTTGGCGAACATGCTTGGACAACGAATGCTCTAGCATCTGATTTAATTTCGGGAAATGTATCATAAAAGGAGTCCGTTTGTTTGCCACCACGTAAATCATTTGAAAAGTCTTCATAATCACCTTTGATAAACACTATTGCCCATTTATGAGAAGTTTTCGTGGTCATAAAACCAATACTCTTCAAATACTCATCGACATCTTCCCATTTAATGTTGAAGAAACGTAAAGACATATAAAGCAAAGTGCTAAGATATTTCGTGTCACATTTCGACTTGCACATTTCAGCAGCATCCCTATATCGGTCAGACAAAGTTTTTCATTGAAAGGTAATTCTTCATCATCAATATTCATACTATATTCTTCACTGGATGACTCGCTTGAAGATGAAACCTTTGCACTTGACCAGCGATGAGATAATGCACTTTGTGCTTGGTTTCTTCTTTTGCTTCCTCTTGGCATACCAAACTACCTTACTTCAGCTAAGATGGTATCTTAAAGAAACATACATGATACTGACGTTTTTGATTATACCATGTCTTTTCAAGAAAAGGATTTCTAGAGACCCTTTGAAGATCCTCTAAGGATCTCGAAAATATGTCCATCCGATTCGCCATTAGTTTTTACCTATTTGAAGCGATTTTCACTCGGTTTGAAGAGAAAACAGTCATTTTATTCACAGATGACCTTCACCCTTATCGTATCATAACAGTAAAAGTGACTTCTCTCAACACAGGAAAGAAAAGAAAAAAAAAGGATACATAACTTTGTAAGTGGTGGTATGATGAGTCGAATGAGATAAAACATTTGACTTTATCACTTACGTAGAAAAACTAGATAGGTTTACAAAATCGACCAATATGTGGTGCACTCGACGCGATTCGAAACGCCACCATCGGTAGGGTTTGGGGTCCAGAGTCGATTTAAGAACTGTCTTATATTCAGCTTTTTATGCTAAATCTGGAAAAATTATGTTCAGAAGCAAAACAGAAGAATGAATAAAAAAATTTTGCACATTTCGAGAAAGAACGTGTTTTTCTCGAAAACGACACCTTTCGAGTATTTCTTATTTTTCGACCAGAAGGAAGCATTTGCTAAGGCTAAAAAGTAGTTTTTTGTGATCAGCAGCTCAAGCTCTATCCATTGATGTAAAGAAAACACGAAAAAGAATTTTTTACTGAAAATTCGCATTGCCGGCACCTTACAATGCGGCGAAACGGAAGTTTTGGTAGCACGACGGAATTGCGAATATCATTTAAAACGTGCGGTGTTAGTTATAAATTGACAAACTGCTTCATATATTTTGAAATAGTTAGTTTTGTTCAAGGATGATCTTAATAGAATGGTATTTCTATTAAATGGAATATTTAGTATTTTGAATTGATTAATCAGGACGTTTGAGCAATCGAAAATGATTACAATAGAAAATAGAAAATGATTACAGTCTTCTTTAAAGGACACTGGTGGAGACAGAGACAAACAGTGGAGGCAGTAGGGAGATGAAACACAATTTCTTTGAAACAGATAAAGGTTTAACTGCCGCAAATCTACTCTTAAGCGGCAAAAGAGGGCTTCTGTACGTCGACTAGATGTCGATGGTATTTTTTAAATGGTTGCCTATTAAGCTGACTCTTAGCTCTTTTTTGAATATAAAACCGTTTATTTTTACACATACCGACGCTGATTTTGTAGAGAGTTCCTTCCATTTCCGGATTATCGTTGGATAAAAAGAATCTTGAAAAGCGGCACTTTTATCGCTGTTTGTTTCAAAACGCTGTACACATTGTTTCAAACTAGGACAGATTTGCCCTGTTCATAAAAAGAATGATAAACATTTAACTAGCAATTAAAGAAAAACTGTTTTCCGACTTATCGTTAGTTTAAACTGAATTGAATCATCGGTATCTCAACAAAGAGTAGCACGGATCGTTTTTCTGACATATGAGCTCAAACTGGACCCCAAATAGATTTCCTTTTCCTACCATATTATTCAGGATTCTTGATCGAGACTGGATCGGAGACCAAAGCGAATGAAGTTTTAAAAAATTTTACTAATTTTCTATGTGCACATTCACATTAAACAAATTTTTGGATGTTATAATCCCACAAGTCTCAGATCTGTGAAACTAAACACCTACGAAGTTCGGGTTCAGAGACTACCGTGCTTCTGCTACAACCATTGATTTTGTAGCAGTATATCTGAGTTTGTGATATGTCCAATTGATTGTTTGAATAGAACAATATTTACTAATCTTACATCTTGAACATTGCTTTAAATTAGTCGAAGTCTTTTTAAATGTCTCACAAATCTCCATTGAAAATTCTTAATTCTTAGAATAGTTAGTAATACAGCTCTGCTTGAGTGATATTTTTGAATGGATTAACTTTTGTTTTCTTTTCTGATGAAAGTGTTGTGAGAAAAAAAGGTTACTTATTCATATTCACAACGGGACAAATTAAAAACTGTCATTATTTAAACGGAAAAACAATGCCTGAAGAAAAAGGTATGTTTTCTCTCTATTGTTGCTCATAATTCCGAAACGGGAAAAGAGACTAAATACGATTAGACTGCATTTTTTGTTTTTAAAGTGTTTTTAGAATGAAGTTATATTTGTACATTCAGTCTGAATGAAAGTTACTTCCTTTTCTCAGCAAAATGAAAAAAAGTCGTGATTAAAAAGTGTACGCTGTTTTCCACATTCCTCCAGGTCGTCCATCAGGATACAGCCAATCTTCAAGATTATCTAATCGTCCAAGAAATTCCAGAACATATGCAGCAGCCTGTGTCATTCTTTGTAATGCAAATTGATTTATGTTTTGCACTGTATCGCAATCCAAATGATAACATGGATCATATGCCGTTGCAACGATGCCCCCTGGAGATGAACCCAAAACTTGATCGTAGTAATCGCGTTCACTTTTCGATTTTATACCCTCAGCTCCGGAAAACAATCCTGATGCAACAACACCGGCTTCCAAAAATGGCCCATAATCTGCTCTTCCACTGACATCAGTATAAGTCCATGGCAATAAGTGGTTAGTAAACCAATCACGAAATAATTCTGACAGTTTAATACTACCAGGTTTTGCATATGCAGGTGTATTATTAGGAGCACTGCTTCCATTATAGATGCCAAACATATAATTTGGTGAACCAAGCATATCATAGTTCAAATTAACTAAATAGTCTGAAATACGTTCGCCGACCGTTGTATTTTGTCTTGCCATATCACGGTGATATTCAGCTCCGCGAAGGCCAACTTCTTCAGCACCCCACCAACAGAACCGAACGCGATATTTGTACGCTCGGTCAACTGACTTGTTAAATAATCGAGCTATGTTCGTAGCAAGAACAAGATTAGCTGCACTACCACTGCCTAGGAAGAGAAAGCTTTAAAAAGAGACAGGAGTTTAAACGGTATATCTCACCATTATCATTGATTCCTGGTCCAGCTGGTACACTAGGAACTGTTCGGACATTACATGACGACTCAAATGGTCAAGAGGGTCAGCAAACGATCACTTCTCACTGCAGAAAGGTAGAAGTAGACTAGAAATATGCGGTTAAAAAATACACTGAAAAATGTGAAAAAGATGAGCAACACACTCTTTATTTTGAGAAAAAATTATCCAAGGTTTCGCAAAGACCTCCGTCAGCAATATAAACTACCTTTGGATGCAAAAAAGCAGAGAAAGTTCTTGTGATGCTGTAAAGGGGAATTCTGGAAAAGTACGCGATCGAGATCGAAAAGCTTCGCTTCACACACTTCCTGGTCTGAATGAGCTTTTCTTCTAGGTTTGCTTATGTAATCATAACGCTATTATTTCTGAATAGGCGAAAACTGTTTCAGCGAATTTGTGTATGCAAGTGTCTAACAGATGTGTTGCTCAATAAAAAGACTAGTCGCTGTATAACTCAAATACGAAACCAAGATGGATGCCACTTTCAGAAAAAGTGTAGGTAAACCAGTGTTTGGACAACAAAGGGTTTAACACAACTGGTAGACGAATGGTTAAAACTAATCTCGTAATATCCAAAGGTCCCTATCACTATGACTGCCGATTAAAATCGTCTGAGTTACATTACCCGTTCTTGTATCCGCACATATATTTCCAACTGGTTTTTGCTCTTTTCCAGCTGTAAGTTGAATTGTTACTAACATATTATTTGGCGCATTCTTCAGTTCCATGCCAACTCCATATGATACAGATAGAACGGGGAATGTTATATTTGGGTTAACACTTGATGCGACGGCAGACATACCAACAGAGTTATAAATCAATAGACCGCTTAGATTCGACGGGGCTAATTGTGCTTTCACCCGGTAAAGACAACCACCACCGCCAGCAACCAAAGCAACAGTTTCAGTGATATCTAGTGTATTCCAATCAGAAGGACTACAACCATAGCGCGGTATGATAGTTACTCGAGCTGATACTGAACTTGTTGATGAATTACGAAAATATATTAGTTCATAGAAATCTGCTCCAACACCCCTAGTGTAGATCTTATTCACACCACTAATATTTGAGCTAAATGTTGGGATGTCAGTCAAATTGAATGTACTCCAATTAAAATCTTGACGATGAACTTTTAAATTAGTATTGTTCGTCAGATACTGTGTGATATAATCCAGTGTCAGTTCGAATCCTCTAGTATGAATAGCACGTGTACGCCCATTATTATCTGCAATTTTTTGAAATTCATTTAGATGAGACATCATTTGATCAACAGTGATGGAAGTAACTAAATTGTTAGCTAAGGTAGATGACGATGTTGTTGCCGTTGTAGTTGTTGTGACTGCTGTTGCATCATCCTGTTTATTCGCAACTTTAACAATGACACCGAGTGCTGCAGCCATCAACGCGAAAATAACAAGTGTCAAAAAGGGAATGATGCCCGAAAGGATATGTATTCGACTAGCAACTTCCATTGTTGGTTACTAAAAAGCGAGAATAGTTCCTGCTAATTCTTCACAAACTCTAAGTCACTAGTCAGAATTCTTTCCCTTGCTTGAACTGTGAAACGTTTTGGGTCCAACTGAAACTTTGAAACCTTCAGTAATGCCTCACGACGTATGGACCGTCCTTTAGGCTTTTTTTTATTGAGAAATCAAGTAATTACATGTAATTTACTGCGCTGATTGTGAATATTAACATCGAGCTTGCTCTTAGATTTTGAAAGGCTGATCTTTGTGAAACTTGATTTCTACCAAACCGACGTAAAACTCCAAAAACATTTCTCGGTGAGTCATCTGTAGGGCAAGATAAACTGTGTATAACCTATTAATTTCAGCCTTTCTAAATAAATCTAATTAATTTACAAGTTACACTGAGATTTTTTTCAACTTGATGAAATGATTGAACAAGAAAATTTCCCCAGAAACCTGATCTCCGGAGACCTAGTCGCTACTCTATTACAGGCCTAGTGTTCGCCATCTATTCCAAGAACCCAAATGATTTTCATCCGAAACCTATTGCACGCGAGGAAGCATTTTACCGTTTCTTACTTCAATATTATTTTTGATAACGTTTTGATTCGTTCTTTTAACCCTGGAAGTATCAAAATAATTTTCAAACTTTGGATACAGGGATGCCAACTAAAATAAAAGTAAAGGGGGACTGTTTTTACTACAAAGCGGCACAACACAAAACACATTATTTGTCGTGCAATGTCATTGAGAAAATTAAAGGCACATGAGTATATTCTTTTATTTCTATTGAATATTGCTATTATTCTGTAGTAATTAGATACGCATAAAAACCGAAATAATTAGCGCTAGGAACACAATGTAAATTTTGAATTTAAAATATGTACAAATGTTGTTAAATTCGATTTTGTTTCTTTTCTTATAGTCAGTTGCATAAAGAAGTTCCATTTTCACTTCTAGTTTAATGGTGTGACCTGAAAGGCGTGAAAGGAAGACAGAAAGATTTATCTTTATTGCATGTAGGTAGATATATCTATCATACAGAGTGATAAGAAAAAGCACTAAATGCTAAAGATCTATTGAAATGAAAGCGTAATACAAAAGCGAAGTGTCCATTGGATACAGTCTAAAGAGCACATCCTCGAAAAGGGGGACACCCGGTGGGACAGGTCTCTAAATGTGGGACTGTCCCCCTTATGGGGGGATATCTGGCAACCCTGTTTGGATACCAACATGGGTTCCAGTGGACCCGTTTTGTAAAATACAAAAGAAATACATAAATTGCAGCAAATTATATTTTTATTACATGAACACAGTGCAGAAATCATTTCTAGCAAGAAACAGGTTAGTTTTGAAAAATTTAAACTTAAAAACAAAATTTTTAAACTGTGATTGGAAAAATACCGAAACTAGGGTCTCATGAGACCCATTTTGATACTTCTAGGGTTACCTTATATCGTACTGACATTCTATCTGTCTTTTGATTTTTACTTTATCGAAAAGGTTGAGATTTATGATCAGATTAATACAAACTGCACATAACTTTCTTTTTTAATAAAATCAACTTACAACAATACCATTTGTAACTGACAATAAGCCGTAAATATTTCTTGGGAACACTGGTGAAGTTGCATATTACAACACAAATATGTTTGATTATTTTGAAACTGTTTAGCTTATTCCTCCCAAACCGTTATATAAATTGATTCGCTCTTGTTTGTGATCAATATATCTTGTTTGCTTGTTTCCATCCTTCAGCTCTTTCTGCTCTTCATATTATATGAATACGTTTCCAGATGTTCCATTGAAACTATTTTACTTAGAAAGAATGCTTATTATTCATATTCATTTTCTATTCATTCAGGGTACTCAGAAAAGAGCTAAGTTATACTCATCATAGAAACATCCTGTCTTCACAGAAACTAAAAATCAGGATGTTTCTATGAGGACTATAAGTAGCTCTTTTCTGAGTATAAAACTTTATTTATGTTCAACAATTTATGTACTATTGCATCTTTTCTTATGGGTGAATAGACAAAATGATACAGGGGTCCGCCTCTTTCTTTTTGTTCTCTTCATCTATTTAACTTGTTTTTCTTCTTTTCTTTCCTTGATAATATAAAACTTCTGCGCCTGTCACCGTTATTATACTTTGGTACTGAGCTGATTATAATTTATCTAAGTTTTTTCCTGTTGATAATGCGTACAGTTCGCCACCATAACTTATGACTGCAAGGAAGCTTTTATATGCAATATCAAGTGCTGTTCTTTTAGACATTCAAAAATCAATGGATTTGTTTAGCACTTGAAACTCTATCGATAACCATATCTTAAAATTTCATCACAAGCTTTTTAGTCTACTGTCAGGTATAGGCCCATTATACTCTTACCCGTTTTGGGCAAAATAATGGAGTGAGTCAACTTCAAATATCTATATTCTTATCTATTTAACAACAAACTAATCATAACTAACCAGTCTGGTTGCGTTAAAAAGGACTCATGTGTTAATCAACTAATCACGCACATTCACTACATTAACGAAGTTGTAGAGGATAACAAATTTGTGAAAGCGGTATTTTTAGACTTCTCGCGCGCATTTGATTTTGTTTGACATGGACGACTGCTGTTTAAACTAAGGCAAACAGGTGTGTCAGCACGAGTTTTATAGTGGTTAAAAACTTATTTCTACCTCAGGAAAATTAGGACAGTAGTCAACGAGTGCGTCACGGACGACGAGACCGTCAACTGTGGAGTTCCTCAGGCGAGCATTCTTGTTCCTCTGTTGTTTCTCATATTCATTGATGGCCTTGGAGACAGCTTAAGTTAATCTAGCATGTTTAAAACAATATAAACTTTCGCTGTTCATAAGGAATCAAATTTTGCTAGAAGCAATGCTGTCCAAACACTTAGGTCTATCATAAACACCTAGCCTATCGTGGGACACGCATGTGCACGAAGTCCCTGGTACAACAAACGATACCTATAATTATATGAAATTAATAAAATGGAATGTTAACAGAACAGCACTTGATATTGCATATAAAAGCTTCCTTGCAGTCATAAGTTATGGTGGCGAACTGTACGCATTATCAACAGGAAAAAACTTAGATAAATTATAAT